AAAAAAAAAAAAAAAAGGATGAACTTCAACTATTTGTGGTTGAAGTTGAAGAGTATACGAAAACACAAAACTTCAATCATCTGACCTACTTATGTTATTTACGGACGTATAATATATGCATAATTCATGTATAATATATATATATATATATATATAATCTATGTATACTTGCTAATTGTGAATTCGGCCGGTTATTGGTGCAAAACTTCTCCAGCCCAACAATTAAGAGGGTCTTTAAGTCTGAATTGTCACATACTCACTTTAGTTCATTATTATTTTAGATTAATTTTTTTTCTTTCATTATGATCATGTTTCTTTCTTCCTGTTTTCTCAGGGTCCAGAAAATTAATGAGTAAAACAATTTAGAAAATTAAAGAAAAATTAGCGACCAACACTGAAAAACAAAGGTTGAATTAAATTAGATGAACAAAAAAAATCAAGTAAAAAAAAAGAATAAGAAAAGAAGGAATCAGAGAATAAGGTTCAGCGAAGATTCAAATGACATATTGTCCTTTGCCACCCGGAGATGCACTGAGATCGTTGAGATTCATATACCTGGAATTATGGTTCTTGGGTTTGATTTCTAAGAATGTAGAATTTCTTGATAGAAAATATTTTACCCTTAATATGAAGATCGTTGTGTGTATGCTCGACTGCAGTTGTCTGCGATATAATAGGTGAAAGTATAGATTAGTCAATCAGGCAAACAACCCTTCAAGAAGAATTCTGCTATGCCCTACGATCCTTATAGAACGAAAGAGTTGTTTCGTGATCCCTAGGTCACGGGGCATATCTAGGAAGGGTTTATGGGGCACGTGAACCCATGCTCACTTTCCTAGATCATATATAATAATGTTATATTTTTTCAAAATGCTTAAATATATGTGTGTGCATGCACAAGCTCAAAATATCATATCACACAATTGTTATTGGATGCACCTCTCAAAGTGGATTGTGAGTTCAAATCTCATGTCAATCTTATTGTTTTTTTTGTTAGGCGCCCACGGGAGATGGACATGGTAGGTGTCACTTTTTGCGTATTAATTAAGTACTTCTTTTTCTTTCTTACTTCGTTTGATTTATTCTTTCAAAATATCACACATTGAAATTCCTATTATTCTTTTGGCACCGTAAAATTTTATATGATTAAATAAAATGTGTATATTAAAACTAGTAGTAGTGAATGATGTAGCATATAGTCAATGCATTCAACTGATCCCAACATTTTCGACATGGAGTATAGAATATAGATACAATTGTAAGAAAATAACTATATAAATATTAGTATTGAACTTATAATTCCAAACGTATAATGGGTGTAATAATAGAACTAAAAGTTGAACGTCTAAAATTTATATATTGAATCCACCGCTTCCTAATAGTATACCAATTTTTTCAAAAATCTGGATCCGCTTCTGCCTCTTTGCAACCAGTGACGTAGCCAGAATTTTTATTAAGGAATATCAAAATATATAAAAGTAAATATACTAAAAAATTAAAGGGAGTCAATACCAAAAACATAGTATATATACATATACAATTTTCTTTTTACCAACCTAATACACAATATATTTTTCCCGCGACCTTCCTATAAGATGGCTCCACCACTGGTTGCAGCATGTCCGATCGTTAACTCCTGGCATACTGTTGCTGACTAACCTACCCAATATGAATTTGAATTAATAGAATAAATAAATTTCGAATGTGGAATGTCCAAAAAAAATGAAAAATAAAAAGAAGAGAGAGAGAGAGAAAGAAATGTCTTTTGGTCCTTAGCACTTTATGCTTTTTTGCTACTTATTAGCTAAGTTGAGAAGAATTTTTCATACGCATGCAAAATGGAGCTGACACTTTCAGAGGAAATTTATCAATGGAACTTTACTATGGTCATCCTCATCCTATCTGGAATTCATTATTACTTACTTCTTCTTTCTGAAATTATGCATTCATTTTTTTCTCCTTAGCTTTTTAACAATTTCAAACGTGGAATTACTTATTTCTCAAAAATAGAAAAATATAAAGTGCCATCTACTTTTAAATTATAAAAGCAATGATTTTCCTCTTTGAATGTACAATGTACAATACACCACTTTTTATGCATGATTGCTACCACCGCTGAAAATATCTCTTTTTAGGCAAAATATTTTGAAGGGCGAGTGTTTGAGGTACGAGCCTATAGAATAAATAATGCTAGTATGGAGTGTTTTCCTTTTTTCTGGCCAGTAAGTTCCGAATATTAAGGAGTCGTTTGATTTGAAAATAAGTTATAATGGAATTAGTAGACGAGTAGTTCTCTAATTCGTTGAATTTTACTTCATCTTGACAAGAGATATAGCAGTTGCTCGTTCAAAACAGAGGTTTACGAGTAAGTACGGTTAGAGAAGTGTTTGAGTTTTTTCCTTTTTTTTNTTATTTAACGACGGGCTTTGTTATATTTTAACGGTCGAATACTATCCCCTAGTTAATATTGAGCTAAAAATTAGTTTCAACAAATGGAAAAAAATTTGGTTGCTATGAGTACATTTATAACGACCGGATTTATGTCCCTTCGTTAAAAAATGTTCGTTAAAAATTAAATTTCTTGTAGTGCTGATATTAGTTATAATGGTATTATTTCTTATTGAATGTTTGATATGTTGTATTAATCATGAGATTATCAGTTCTACTGTTTTATCTTGCTATTTCACCCTCTGACAGATATAAGTTATTCCGATACTATTTGTAATCCTGAAATAACTTATCCCAAAATTAGTTATAATCAAACAAAAAAATAAAACGATACTAAATTTTTATGTCAAGATTATTTTTACCTACCTGTCGTACCATACGACCCCTTATAGTTATACCAAAAAATACTACAACTCCTAGTAATGCTTTTACATAACCAAATCTTCTCATCTTCAATGCAATCTAATGATCTATAAAGCTACAGGTTACGTAGAACTCAATAAAGGCCAAAGTTTAGACTATGATTACTCTGGTCAAAATAAGTATACTGGTTTCTTCATTCTTTAATTCAGTTTATTATTTTGAACGAATCATTACAAATCATGTATTATGCACTACAAGTTCCCAAAGATTGTGAAACATCAGTAATTAAGCCCATACCCTCAAAAGAATAGAAAGAATGATTCCGAACAAACATATACTATACCTTCGATTATATTCTTTTTATTCCCTTTAGAAAGTATATTTAATATTTTTAATTATAAGAATTTTTTTATATCATTTATCTCTCTTTTAGACGTCTTATTTAATAAGAATCTACTAATTAAATAGTAAAGTGAATTTAGAAAAAAGTAATAAACGTTTCATGTTTTTGTAAAATATAAAATATTTTTGGAACACATATAATTTGGAAAAATGACAAATAATATGTACCAAAAATAGCATTAAATAATCAAGTGGGAAAAAGGAAGGAATTAATATGATGGGGCTACTTTCGCAGTTTCTCTGCGGTGATGTTTTAATAATTAGTAAAAGGATTAAATAAAGAGATGAATCATAGGCCTTAGATATTGAAGTACCTTGAGGAGAAAAGGTAAAAAAGATGTTAACAAAAAGAGAACAATGAATTCATAGTAACCTTTTTAATTGTTTAATATTTTCATGATTTAGAGATAGTAATAATGGTTATCACATGAAAAAACATGGTGACAATTATGGTCTGCCCCCACTCTTTACACGCATACCCTCGTAAAATTTCGGTGCATAGATTAAAGAAAGTTCTTAATCTTTAATTTCAGCTTCTTTTTTTTAAATAGAGGAGTTACTCCATGTAATCTATAAGTTACGGGTTCGAGCCGTGAGAGCAATCATTAATACTTATATTAGAGTAGACTGTCTACATCACACCTCTTGAGATGCGGTCCTTCTCCTGACTCTGCATGAACGCGGAATATTTTGTGCATCTGATTGCAAAGAAGTTGCTCAGCAGTTGTGTTCTATGTAGGACAATGTTGGTGAAAATAAGAAAGGGAAACCACATGAAACATCTCGTGTTTGATATAGCGTTCGAGGAGTCGCACTTTAAGGAGGTGTAATGTAGACAGCGATTTATTCTACGATTCGAACTCGTAATATAAAAGTCATAGGAAAACTGACTTTACTATTGATCCAAATTATAAATTTAAGATGGTAGAAATATCAAATAATGTTTGTGTAGCACTCCCTAGTCCCTGCGATTTATATATATCGTTCATCAAAGTTTACACACTCCTTGAGAAAAAAAATTACAACTTAGGTCATAATTAAGAGTATTGTCCAAACTATACCTTATCTATCACTTAAATGTTTCACTTCATACACAACTAATTGGAGCAAGAAATAGATTTGAAGAAAAATAATGACTTATTTTCTTTGTAACGCGTCAAATATTTTGAAACAAAATTAATTTATCACTACAACTAATATTTGATATTGGAGGTACTACTTGACATAAATCATTAAGCAAGTTGGTATGAATTTTTGTGTGTATATGATCACCAAGTCATCTATTCTATAATTGTTAAATTAAAACATAGCATAATGCTTATGTCAGGTTGAGTATACAATTTGAAATTTCTCTTTGCATAGTATTTTAAAACAAAAGACAAAAGATAAAAATAAGAAAAAAAGAGAAACAGCTATAATAAAACAACTAGCTCTCCTTTCATAAACATACATGATTACAACTCTATCCTGCTAATTAATTACCCTTATTATTTACATTCTTTAAAAGTAATCAAAATACTGAGGAATCTGATAAGGTTCTTCTCTTTGTTTCTTGCTCAACTTTGGAATAACAGCAGCAGCATTTCTAGCACTCTTCAATTTCACCAAATGATCACTTGGAATTTCTGGTGGCTTAATTGACCTAATTAAAGCCCAATTTACACCTTTAAAAAAATCATGCCTCTTAATCTCAACTGACCCCTTTAAACTTCCAATTCTCTTCTTTGGATTTTTCACTAATAATCTACTAATCAAATCTTGAACTTTCACCATTTCTTCATACTCTTTACTAGTACTACTTATCCCAATTCTTGGAAAAGTCAATGATTTTTTCAAAATATTGACCAAAGTTTTCTCATTGTTTTCTCCTTTAAAAGGTGTAGTACCAAAAATAAGTTCATATAAAAAAACTCCTAATGTCCACCAATCTACTGCACTTCCATGTCCTTGTCCAGAAATTACCTCCGGAGCTAAATATTCATGTGTACCAACGAACGATCGCGATCGCGCATTTATAGGTTCAGCAACAATTTCTGAATTATGATCTTGAATTTCAACTTTTTTTTGTTCTATTTTTGGTGATAAGAAACAAGATAAAACTGGTTGAATAGGGAGAGAACAATAAGAATGTTTTGAGATGCAACTTGTGTTTTTTTGGTCATTTGGTTTAGGTTTGGATTTTATAAGTGTTGGAATGACTTCACATTTGAAAGAAAGATCAAAATCTGAAAGCATAATGTGACCATCTGCTCTTACTAAAACATTTTCTGGCTTTAGATCTCTGTATACTATTCCCATCATGTGGAGATATTCTAGTGCTAAAANAAGAAAAGAACTTGTCAAATGCATGAACGCTAACATATGTACATAGACATAAATTATAATCAAATTAAATGTATTTACTCAAATATAACAAGAACTAAAAAATAAAATCGTTCCATAATGAACGGACCAAAAATGTAATTATGTCTAATGGATTTAAGCTTTATGCATCGATAGCATAATATATCAGTATAGTTTAACCTGTTATAACAGTTAACTCATCAATTTTTTTCAGGTTACCTATCAATATAATTATAAGAGCTTAACTAGAAGTAACCATCTATAGTAACCAAAATTAGCAGATAACCTGCCATGATAATTTAAAGTACACAATTACAAAGGATAATACATATCTACCTTTTAGTGACCTAATTACATACTAAATATTTTTGTAAAACTTAAACTCATGCTTAATTAATAATTTCACTTACTTAGCAGAGGAAATACTGAATCTTTTTCCCGGTTGCCGTTGCCGGGCGGCATGCAAATCACCACCTGGACAATACTCCATAACCAAACAAGAATAATGCGAAGCTTCAAACTGAGCATATAAAGTTGGCAAAAATGGATGATCAATTATTCCCAATATTTCCTTCTCCATTTCTGCTCTCTGCAATTTTTTCCTTATTATTAGCGCTTCTTTATCCACAACTTTCATTGCATAAAAACACTGCGGCAGCAACCCTACAATCAGTGACATAGCCAGGAATTTTAGTGAGTAATATCAAAATATCAAAATATGAATATATAAAAAGTCTAAGGAAATTTAACATATATTTTATATAGCACAGGACAACTCCATGCACAAGACATACCTCTTAGGGCAAAGTCATCCTTTGTCAAAATATTACGAAAAATTATACTGTGTATATAAGTAAAATATTGATATAACATATATTGAATACTCTTTGTTGAGATTTTTTTTTTTTTTTTTTTTTTTTTTTTTTTTTTTTTTTTTTTTTT